GCCGGTTTGGCTCAGTGGATAGAGCATCAGCCTGCGGACTGAAGGGTCCCAGGTTCAATTCTGGTCAAGGGCATGTACCTTGGTTGTGGGCACATTCCCAGTGGGAGGTGTGCAGGAGGCAGCTGATCAATGTTTCTCTCTCATCAATGTTTCAAACTCTCTATCCCTCTCCCTTCCTCTCTGTAAAAAGTCAATAAAATATATTTTTTTAAAAAAATCTGGGGGGGGTCTTCATCATGGAGTTAAACACTAGGGCTCCATGTGTTAAACATAGGGAAACCTTCAGACCTTGTTTCTGGAAGGAAGACATGAAGGAATAAAACAAGAGGAAAAGCCCTTCTGCACTTGTATCACCAACATGTGACAGATCTACCAGAAGTGACACTCTGCCTTATTTAAACCAACATTATTTAGCATTCATTAGAAGAGCAAAAACAAAATTGTTGAAACTGATATTTTTTATTCTGGTATGATGGCCACAAGCTTTGGGCTCATAAAGTATTTTATTAGTAAAGTTTATAAAGACAGGCAAGGAATGAACTTTCAGCATTTGGATAATAAGGGGCATTGGAGAAACAAGACAAATATAAGGGATGTTTTGTCTATTGAATATATTAAAGAAAGGAACTAAAAGCACAAAATAAAGCCAACCATGAGATTGTGCTTGCTGATTGTCATCAAATGCTTTCAGCCACAAGAAGCAGACTCCAACTAAAAATGGCTGAAACAATGAGGCCAGTGACATGAGATGCTCCAGACTTGTATGGGAAACTCAGTGGTCTCAAGGACCCAGAACCCATGGAGTCTTCAGCCATGATTCCCTGGTGGTGGTAGCAAGGTTTCTATAGCAATTCTAGATGCCACATGTAGGCATGACCAAGTTCAGTAACAAAGAAGGGAGGTCTTTCCTTCCATGCATCTGTCATTTCAAAGGGAAGAAAATTTCTTCCCAGAAACCCTCAGGAAACATTTCTCCCTACCCCATTATCTAAGATTACTGCCCTGGCTGCAAGAGAGGTGGCAAAACAAATCTCTGTCACATTTTGCCTCTATAGGAGAAGGATGTCTCTGCCAGCCAGCAAGGTGGAAGGGCACTCTAAGGTATTTCCTCATGACCACCCAGCCTGCAATGGGAGGAATGTTGGGTCAGCAATCCCAGCCTCCAATCTGAGTAAATCCAAATCCTCTCCCATGGGAGGAAGCCCAGGGGGGTTCAAGGTCAGGGTGCACATGGCACCTTCACACCTCACATTTTATGACCTCATCCCTCTCTCCTCTCCCCATCTACCTATACCCTGTAGTCCTCCCCAGGGTATAGGGGAGGGTTGGTCTGTTCTCCTCCCCAGGGTTGATCTGTTCTCCTCCTCCCTGTGTTGGTCTGTTCAAGTCCTCCCTAGAACAAACTCTGAAAGTTGCTCAGATCTGAAGGCAACCACTGGAATCAGACACTGGCCAAGAAATGTCCTGTTCGAGGCAAAATGTAAAAGGAGAAAGAAAAAAAATAAGTCACAAATAAAAGAAATGCATTAGGACAGAAAGAGGGGAGACATGAGGAGAAGAGAGACAGAAGGGCAAGACAAATTAAAGAAAGGAGCAATGTGGAAGGGAGCCAGGCCCTGATTGTGTCTCTTTGGGCTACTACTTGCCTGTCTTGGTCTTAAAAACCTTTCCATTTGTGGCAAAGATTTCAACTCAGAACACTGAAAAGGCTCTGTCTTAGATACCAGAAGAAAGGTCCACTGCTCCTACCATGATGTTTTAGACTTCCCAGGGCTCCACACACCATGGTCTGGGTCCCTGGGATCTAGTTTAAAGAATGAGTAATGGAAAAAATATTCCTGAAGGTCCTTAAAGCCTCCTCACTTCAGACATCAGATAATATAAGGACAACTTGATCCTTTTCATGAAGACCCAAAGTCTTCATAACATTATATTTTCTCCAATAGCATTACCCACAGTCCCTGAGCATTCTGTTCTTGGATAATAGGCCTCAAAATGCACTAAATTCCAAAGTTTGTAAGAGTGCTCTACTGCGTTCTCTTGCTTCCTTTTCTTCTGTTTACAACACAGAATCTTGAGGCATTTCTTATTAAACAAAGATAGAGAAAAATATCATAAAAAGAATCTTATTTCTAATGATAGTTTCCATGTAATAAGATGCAAAAGCACTTTCAGCTCTGCATTTGGAGAATTTTCAGGCAATTCTCCCCCACGTATCATTAGCTAGGGTCATTTAAACTTCCAGGTATCAATGATCTGAGTAAAGATGAGATTTGGGTACAGAAGGTTTTTAGTTGTCTCATAAATAGCAGAAGCTATAGTGCAGGGTTCCTGTTTTTGAAAAATAAATCTACCAAAGAGCTATATGTTCCTGATTTCTATCAAGTGGGTGAGGGGAGAGGAAGAAGAGGAAGGAAAAAACTTGAAAAATACCAATTAGGGAACACTGCCTATAAAGTGATGGGAACACTCTATAGGCCATATCCCTGCAGAAATACCAATAAAATTATCCCTTCCATCTTTTTCAAGTACAGCATGAGCTTCTTTCAGCCCAGGCTCCCCCATACCTAATAAGTCAAGGTAGTGCTTCCTCAGGAAATGGCCCAAGAGGACCTCCGTCCACATTGAACTGACCCACCTTGGGCTGGGGGTCAGTCAGGCTGGCTTGTTAAGCCCTCCTTCCTAGGATGTCTGGAGTGCTTCAGGCAGCTTATTTTCTATGTATTTCAGTGGACAGCTTTTATATCAAAATTCAAGAGCCAAGTTATTTGTAGAAGGGAGTCCATTCAAAAGACATACTGCTTAGCATTTGGAATTGTGATAAATTATATCACTGGTGACCACTTACCAAAATCAAAAGCTGTGAAGAAACCCAGCAATGTTTTCCATTCATTCACTCATTCAATCAATATTATTGATTGCCTACTCGAAGCCAAGCATATTTCCAGTCACTGGAAATACAGTGGTAAATAATCAGACAAAATTCTACCCTCATGGAGTTTACATTCTAGTAGAGGTTATAGAGGACATATGAGCTAAATCAGTCAAATGTATTGAATGCTAGACAGTGACAAGTGCTAATGACAAAACACAAATCAGGGAAGCAAGATACCATATGAAATGTCAGGAGATAACTAAAGGCCTCCCTGAAAAGGTGACCTTTGACCAAAGACAGGAAGGAAATGGAAAGTGAGACATGTGGACGGAGAAAAGGGTGTTCCGGACAGAGGGGGCAGCAAGCGCAAAAGCCTTCAGGCTAAGCTAAGCATGTTATGTTGTAGAAAAATAAGGTCAATGTGGCTGGAGCAGAGAAAAGAGGATAAGAGAAAATAGTAAGGGACAAGGCCAAAAAATATTACAGAGAGCCAGATTATTTTTATTACTTCTAAAAACGTGAAGGTGACGTGGTAGAAAAATATCTGAAAGTTCATACTAAGTATGAATTGAGCCTATGTGTATAGATCTCCTAGCCTAGTACTGACTGAACACTAGGAGATCTTGAATTCTAGTCACTTTTCATTTCCTTTAACAGCTGTTGCACCTCCTCCTCCTCCTCCTCCTCCTCCTTCTGGATTCCCCAGCCCCTCTTTCATCCTCATCATCTCTCCACCCTCCCCATAGCAAAGCTGCTCTCCTGCAGAGCTGTCACTTTGCAAGGGAAATGATAAATGATTCACACCACAGTGATAATAATCTCCTAAATTTCAATGGGCTTTACACATTCTAGAAGACTTTGACTTGCACTGGCTCATTAGATCCTTAAAATGTTCCTGTGAGGTAGATGGATTCTCTTGTTATGAGAGAAGAAATCACATTTAGAGGTTTAGTGACCTATCCAGGGCCATGCAGCTAACAGAAGGCATAGCAAGATTAGAATTTAAGTTGCCTACTGTCCCCTTGCTGGAGGTACATAATAGCAGAGATACTGGAAACACCAGTCTTAGCATGAATGAAGGGCAGTGGCCGTGTCAGACACCTCTGGCAGCAGGACTAGCCCAGCCGCTGATGGCTACTGTGTTCTCACACAGCCAGTGAGAGAAAGGTCCCAAGGAAGCCACGATGGTGCGATGTTAATCAGATGAACAAGGAAAACGGAGCACAGTACGGCACTCAGGTGAGCAGGATTTTTATTAATTCCCTGCAGCACCATTTCTCCTCCTGATCCTAACAGGGCCACCCTGGCCGGCCTGCAGCTGAGC